TTTTCGTCTCTTTGTGTTTTCTTTATTTTCGAACTTCTTCGGGCTAATCCGTGAAAAATTTTTTCGCAATTCCGGTTTGATCTAATGACTCTTGGGATTCATCTCTGATATAAACTTCGTCACTAGCCATTATTTCCAATACTTGTTTAACTTTTCCAAGTGCATGACCTGGTGAAGAAAATATAGACCACATAATTGCGACTATACCTGAAAGCGTTATTGATGCACTGTAGACAAATAAAATTTAAGATAATTATAGATTGAGAAACATTTGATACGTATAAAACTATGATAAGCATTGATAAGCACTTACATATTTCCACATAACATAGGATAATTGCTGCCAGTTGATTTAATTGAAATTTCATCAAAAATATGTTTAGCGACACCTAACCAAACAGATATTCCAGCTACAAGTCCTAATATTGCAGCTCCAATAATACCATAAAGATTTTCCTTATCACATGTTAAAGTGATAAAAATTGGAATGACTACCGGAGAAGTAATAATGCCCATAAATAAATACATATAACCTAAGTCAACACCGATATAATGTAGTATTGAAGAAATTACGCTCATTGCAATACCAGAAACAATATATGAAAGGTATGATTGTGTGTTTAATTGATCTTCATCAGCCTTAAAATAATAATATAAACATATATTAAAATTTTATGTAAAGGAACTTTAATGAAATAACTTACATCGTCATTGATATATGTCATAAGTATAGATAGAAGATATTGAGATTAGTTCTGCAGATGTTGCTGACCTACAATAGATATTCGTTATTGTTTAGCGTATGTCTATACCTGATACTGTACAGTACGTACGTACGTAAGTATTTCGCGTCAGAATTTTATACTCTCATGACTGCCATAAAAGTCAATACCAATACAGCAACTGCGCCAAGTTTTCCTAAAAGTACAGCCGCAGCTGTTGGAAGCACCAATCCAGCTGATAAATCCTCATCCGTCAATGGATCCATTAGGCCAGCTTCAACCAAAGCTATACCAGAAATTCCCATGGATGTAGCCAAAGTAAAAGGAATAGCAAACCAAGACAATCCGCCAATTAAGTAAGCTTTCACAGTGGAAGATGTTCGAACAGCTATTGCGCGTTGCCAGTAAGCATTATCAGCAAAGATTGTTCCAAAATTTCCAATAATACCGATAATCCCAAAATATAATCCTTGAAATGAAGATAACGTGACGTATGATCCATCTTCATTATATGGAACTTTATTACGTGATGAGGCATTTACCAAAAGATCATACATTTTGTCAGCTGAGCCAATATAAGATGAAAACCTGTACACAACGAATGAAAAGTATAGAATTATGATCAAAATGATTGTTGAATTTATATAATCAACAACAAATGTTTCCTTGACACCTCCAATGAATTTATATATAAAAACGCAAAATGGTAATAGGAAAAGAGATAAATAAAAATCTACACCACTCAAAACATTCAAAATAGCAGAACCACCAAGTAGCAACATAGATATCACAATTACTAATAATATATAAATGATTTAATATATAAATGATTTTAGAAATCAGATATATTATGATAAAAAAAATTTCAGAATAACATAAATATATAGTTACTGTTTGTTGCTAAGCCAAAAAGTAAAAACACAATATGAGCCAACTTTTCGTATCGAACATTTATAATTTCAAGGAAAGTATGTGCAGTCGGTGCAACTTTTTTTAGTTTTATGGCCAAAATTGCAAAAAGTAGAATCTAATTTATTTAATTATATATTTAGAAATTTCATAGCAAATCGCATTGAGGAGAGTTGTCTGAGAATGCTCCAAATTATTGGATTTGATTTTCACCTGAATCGTGGCCCCAGCAGCATATAAATAAAACAAAAGCATAAACATTTTAAAACAACATTTATTAAAATATGGAATTCCTAAAAAAAAAAAATTACCCAGATATCCCATATTTATACGCAACTGTAGACGAATGAAGTAAAGTAGAGGTCCATGTCCAAGAAGAAACTATTGATAGTGCGATTAGACTAGGTTTTACATCACGGTATACAGTCATAAATAGATGATTTATTTCTCCATTTCCTAGATATCGGCTTTGAGCTTTAGTCACAAGTGCAGTTATACAGGCCAAAGATAAGGCTAACCCAAGAACTTAATATGTTTATATAAAAGATTAGATTGAACCTATTTCACGAGGAGTGAAAAGGCATACAATTAAGGAATACTACCGATTGCCCAGCCAGCATCATTAGTAAGTACCGGACCTATCATTGCAGATTGATTGGATTTTTAAGATGAATTGTTCAGGACATTTCAATTCTACATTTTCCTTTTTATTTTTGATGCCTTAATGATACCATAATTATTTATGACGTAATAATTACGACATAAGTACGTATATACTTTGTATTTAACATTTAAAAAAATAAATAGGGAAACATTGAATGTATGGATTTTTTGTAATACAAATAAATCTTTGCTATGAATGTTTTTTCAGAAATAATTTTATAAAAATTTCTTAATTAAGGTTTCTGAAACTAAACTATGGTGTAACATTATTGCGGTTTGCAAGAAAGTGTGACCCCATGATTTTTGTGACGATAGTTGTATTAATCATTTATTCATATCCCTATAAGTATCTCTATAATGTATAACGTACTTCTATACCATATATTTATAACGTATCTCTATAACGTACTTCTATAACGTACTTCTATAACGTATATTTATAACGTATCTCTATAACGTATCTCTATAACGTATCTCTATAACGTATCTCTATAACGCATTTCTATAACGTATCTCTATAACGCATTTCTATAACGCATTTCTATAGTGTATCCTATAGCGTATCTCTATAGCATATCTCTATAGCGTATCTCTATAACGTATCTCTATATTTGGAGGTCATGTACCTGCGTGACTTTTTTGTGTATATCAATCAACCGGAATTGCGAAAAAATTTTTCACGGATTAGCCCGAAGAAGTTCGAAAATAAAGAAAACACAAAGAGACGAAAA